CCGCCTCCTTGGGCTCGCTCGCCCCGGTCTCAGGCAGGCTCCCGGTGGGCGCCTGCACGCGGCGGCCCGGGCACCATCCGCGGAAGGCGAGTGCGGGCACCGGGCCGCAAGGCGGGCACCGGGCCTCGAGACCGGCGCCTACCGGTTCTGATGCCTCCGAAAAGGAGCGCGGCTTCCCCGCAAGGTCCAGGAGACCCCGGTGGCCGAAGCCTCCCGCTTGGGCTCCCTGAGCTTGGGAATGATCTAGGGAAATGTGTTTATCGCAGGAGCAGTTTCTAAAGGCCCCCTTTAAAGCCAAATATACGCACAGCGAGATACACAGCCTCTTCCTCCTTGCGCTCTCATTTTAAGCACAGATCCAAGCCAGGTCTAAAAAGTTTCCTTGTGAAAAGTTACAAAATAACCCTTAATTATTAATCTGCAGATGGAAGGGGTTTCTGTTTAGAACCCCACTGGTCTTTTTCTTTCTTTCTTTTTTTTTTTTTTTTGTCTTTTTGAGGCTCCGGCTTGAAAATCTCACAAATAGTTTTCCAAGGGAAAGAATTAACTAACATGATTGAGATAAATTCAGATTTTATTAAACTAATTCCTTCTTTTCCTATTTCCTTTCTCCCTTTCTCTTTCTTCTGGAAAACCCTTTCCGTTTTCTTGCTTTGATTTCCTTCCCCTTATTTTGATTTCTTTCCTGCTCCCCAGCGTTGGCACTGGCCTTCTTTTGTTCTTTCCCTCTCATTTTTCCGCTCCTTGCTGACCTCGGGGCCAGGGCGCTGGCTACCCAATCCTCTGCAGGGAGCAGGAGGTGGCTGGAAGCCCGCGGGTCGGGGAGCAGGGCTGCCTCTTGCTGGGGGCTGCTCTGCCTGCTCTCTCCCAGACTTTGATTTCTCCTCGGACTCCTCTTTGTTTTTAGAGCATCTCTTAGGGTAGAGGTAGGGAAAGATGACCACCACGCCCTGCCAACTCCAGACCCCAACTCAGAGGGAAAGGAAGGGAGACGGGGGACGCGGGAAGGAAAAAGTAGGAAAATATTTCTAAGCAGCCTACAAGGACCCAGCCCAGGCTGGACGGGCAAGAGATGCTGAGAGCCCAGGGTCAGAGGAGGCACCCACCGCATGCCCTTATCCTTCTCGGCTCACCCTGAGGTTGCCTGGCTAGGACTTTCCTCCTGGAAACCACAACTCTAAGTTTGAGAAAGGTGAGTGGTGGTGAGGGAGGAGACGAGGGGAGAGGAGGCCACACCTGACAGCCTGGCACACGGCCCTCCAGCCCAGGGCCAGAGACCAACTAGGGCTGGGGGGCAGGCACGGCCGCGCTGTGGACCCCATGACCTGGGAAGGGGCAGGCGGAAGGAGCAAAAGCAGGCGACCAGCACGGGAGGGAGGAAGGCGACAGAGGCATGAGCAGGGTGACGGGAGGCAGACGGGAGAGAGGCTGGAGGCGCCAGCAAGGCAGGCAGGGGCAGAGGCAGAGAAGAGGGGGTCCTGGCCTCCGGGATGGGACCTGCGCCAGGGAGCGGGCCGCACTGGGTCTGAGCAGGGCGGAGAGCGGGACAGGGGCCGGGCGCGGTACTCACGGTGCATCGCGGAGAAGGGGTCTGCTTTGCAGTGCATATCCATGGGGAGGCAGAGGAGCGGGAGCAGCGCGGCCGCCGCCGCCGTGTCGCCTCGAAAACTCAACTTCAGGACTTGAGAAGAAAAGGGAGGGCGGTGGGGAGGGAGGGTGAGCGGGCGC